GAAAACAGCTGAACCAGAACAGAAGCTGAAAACAGCTGAACCAGAACTGAAGCTGAAAACAGCTGAACCACAACAGAAGCTGAAAACAGCTGAACCAGAACAGAAGCTGAAATAAGCAGTAAAAGGTTAAAGGGTTTGTTTTCTATGAGAAAAAACATGGCAGAAAATTATAAATATTTAATAAAGTAAAATTTGTATAAATACCAAAAGTCACAGCAGGATCAAACTAAATGAGCCGAATGTTTTGATACACGAATTGTTGAAACGACACAAAACCGAGGAACGAGCTACGTTCTGAAAAACGTACGGAACAAAAACGGATCAGTCGTGAGAAGATTTATAAACATTGTTTTATGATGTTTGATAAGGTTGATGTTCTCCAACGTTAGATCACGAGTCCAGTTTCCAGGTTTAACTCGCAGCATACCAGAGTTCTCCACTGTGGAGATGATCTAAACTGTGAACGGAGAACATACCTTTATACTTTTACATTATTTAACAAAAAAAAGAGGCTAAATGCGCAGGTTGGAGAGCTCGGAGGTTTATCTCTGCGACTGATGCTTGAAATGTTCTACGCTCGACTCCTCCGTTTGAGGTTCTTCATGGTTCCTTACGTTTGGAACCTGGTGGGAACTGACCACCTGTATGGTCAGAACATCCTGTGACCCAACATGAGACAACGTGACCGAAGCTACTGTTCGCCTACAAAGATGGCGGCTAGTAAACCACCAATGTCTATAAACCCCCCAACTCTGGTCTAACTGGTAACTTGTCCCTATGTGCGAACGGTTGTTTGTCTCCACGTGTCCCTGCGATCTGTCCTGGACTTCAGTGACCCAGAAAGGAGGCAGGTAAAGGTGGATGAGCCGAATCTCGGTGTGGTAGTAGCTGAGAGTCATTCACGACATAAACTCTGGCGTGAAAGGTGGCGGGCGAGAGCCTGAACTTTAATCGTGCAAGCGTAATTAAAACTTCTTTATTTCTGACACAAAAAGCTCTAAAATGGACAGAACTGGAGCTTTCGGCTGATCTGCAGACGGAGGGCCGAACCCCATCAGAAAACTTCAGCTGCAAAACAAACAGCTGAAGTTTCCCACGTTCCTGGGTCCAGAGGTTCTGAGGTTCGTTCCTTCTCCTTTATGACTCCAATGAGCAGAGGGGGCGCTGCAGCTCCCTCCGGGTTGTTTCTGGACCCGTTCTGCACCGAACCGAGCCGTGTGCGGCTCGAAGCTGCGCGTCACACAGCAGCAGCCTGCAGGACATGTGTTGGGTTTAATGTCGAGCTAAAGGTTCGGATGGGGGTTCGGACCCGGCTCTGCCGCAGCTGCTGCAAACAAACAAACAAACAAACAAACCAGACGGGCCGCAAACACAACAGTAGCGTTTGTTTACGTTTACCTCGAGGTAAACAACAAAACAACACTCCACATCTCTCAGGATCCCCCCCCCCCCCAGAAAACATGGAAAATGGAGCCGAGACGAAGACAAAAGCTGGCAGCTGTGCGGTGTCAAAACAAACTCCGTCAGCCTCCAGTTTTCAGGCCGAACGGGTCGGAGAGGTACCTGAAGGAGAAGTCCGGCTGGAACCGTCCGTCTGAGCGCGGTTCCGGCCCGTCAGGCCGCTGAGTCGTTGTTGTTACTGTCGGTGGGGGATCCAGCCAGCACACCGCTGCTGGATGTAAACATTCGGCCATCTGACGTGATGACGTCAGACGCACGGCACGCAATGTCTTCCGGGCCTGGAATGGCTCGACTCATCTCAGGGTACAGTGCAGAAACATTCATATACATAAGAAGTAAGTTATTTTACATAATTATGCTACATTTAACGTCTTATTAGTATTAACTTTAAGTTATGTTTTTCTAACTTTACCTTCTAGCAACGGTTTTGCTAATTTGTTGTAGCTGCGGTTTTGCTCATTATCTCTGGTAGCAACTATTTAGCTCATTTAGCATTTAGCCACAGTTTTGCCAATTTCATTTTAGCTACGCTGCTAGTTGTACGTTTTGGCTATATTCCTGCTGATTTTACCGTTAGTTTTGCTATTATTAGTCAACAGAAACAATTGTGCTAATTTTAGCAAGAGTTTTAAAGTTTTGCTTAAATTTGAGCGAGCGTTGCGCTAATTTTAACTTTTAGCTACAGTTTTGATCATTTTAGCTTTTAGCTAACAGCCTTGCTAGATTTTGCTATTTTAAAAATTTATTTATTATTATTTTGTTCTAAAACAGTGAGATAAATTGCACTTAAAATATTTTAATTAAAATCTCTCTTTCTGGGGCGGCCATCTTGAATCGAGTTCCCTCTAAAATTTACTTTCTGACAGTTTCAATAAAATTTGTCCTGTGGTTCTCTAGATATTTTGCTAACAGACCGATGCAGTTACTGGAAAACAGATGACTGGTTGCGTTTCACGATGGCGAGAGGCAAAAATAGAAGAAAATCTAATGACAACATTTCAAACCATAAAGTTAATTATTAAATAAAGTTTCAAGTAACTGGTAAATTTATTCTCCTATAAAGGGTTATTTTTCTGTTTTATTCTTTTAATTTTGCAGCATTTTGATAATTCTTCATAACTTCATGTAGCTTTTTTTTTTTTTACTAAGAATGTTTTCATCCAGATATGAATGAGATTAAAGATAAAAAAAAACCAACAAAAAAACCCATAAATTAAGATTATTTTAACTGTTGATCTGCTGCATTGAAGCTGCTGTTCTTATTGCTTTAAAACCTGAACATGTCACATAATAATAATAAAAAACTCTACATAATTGATTGAACTTGGTTGTATTTTTAAAAAATGTGAGTTTTTTTATGGAGTTGAAAAGAGCCGAAGGTCCAGCAGATGTCAGCACGGTACAACGTTCAACTTCACATCTTTGAGGAAAATAATGTAACATCACTGACTGATCATCCATAAGTTTGTCAAAATACACTCATAATATTTTATTTATTTACTACTAAATACCGATAAAGTCATAATAATGGGTGATTTCAATATTCTTGTAGATGTTGAAAGTGATGGCTCAAGCATAGCCTTTAATAATTTAATGGAATCAATTGGTTTTACCCAAAATGTCTGAACATCTCATTCTCATCATCACACTCTTGACCTGGTTCTGAACTATGGCATCGGGATTAATAACTTAGTAATATTTCCTCAAAGTCCTGTTGTGCCGGACCAGTTTTTAATAACCTTTGAGTTTACGTTCAATGACTACACAGTCACTGAGAGTAAATTTCATCTCAGCAGGTGCTTATCAGAAAACGCTGTAACCAAATTTAAAGATTCTCCTGCATCGTTTTCCTCTGTCTTGCAGATTAATGCATCAGAGAACAGAGACTTGGATCATCTGGTTGATCATTTTACAATTTCTTTGCAAACTTCACTCGATAAAGCTGCTCCTCTGAGAAAGAAAGTAATCAATCAGAGGAGATTAGCTCCTTGGTTCAATTCTGAGTTACGTACTTTAAAGCAGACATGTAGAAAGCTGGAAAGAAAACGACGCTCCACTAACATTGAGGAATTTTACTTATCCTGGAGAGATAGCCTGGTGGTAACATAAACACACAAAAAAGCGCTCCGTAAAGCTAGAACTTTATATTATTCATATTTAATTGATGAAATTCATGTATTCCTACAACTATAAGCAGCGATGACTTCATGAGATTCTTTATAAATAAAATTGTTTCAGTTAGGGAAAAAATTCAAACCAACATTCCTACTATCGCCTCTGGTTCTGTGTCAGATGAGACAACTTTAAAAATGTCACTAGAACCTGATTTATGTTTGGACAGTTTTGGTCCTGTTGAGCTCTCTGAATTGTCAAAAATAATAGCTTCATCCAAACCATCCACATGTCTGCTAGATCCAATCCCAACCACACTGTTTAAAGACGTATTTCCCCATATTAATAACCACGTCTTGAATCTGCGTAATTTGTCTCTTTTGAATGGTTACGTACCACAGCGCTTTAAGATTGCTGTAATTAAACCTTTACTTAAGAAACAAAACCTTGACTCAGGAATCCTAGCCAACTATAGACCTATATCTAATCTAACTTTCATCTAAAAAATTCTAGAGAAAATAGTTGCTGGTCAGTTGCGTAAAGAAATAATCAGTTTGAAGAGTTTCAGTCAGGATTTAGAGCTCATCACAGCACTGAATCTGCACTGGTGAAAGTTACTAATGATATTCATTCATTCATTCATTCATTCATGATTTATACAGACTAGTCTCACTGAGCCACGGGGGCTCGTTTACAAGAGAGACCTGTTCCAGACCGAACATATAAAGTACAGACAACAATAACAATAATAACAATAAACTACAGTAAAAATGAGTAGTGTATATTCTGTATTCATGTATTCTCCTGGCCTCTGACAGTGGACTTGTGTCTGTACTGGTCCTGTTAGACCTCAGTGCTGCATTTGATACAGTTGATCACAATATTTTACTACAGAGGCTTGAATATGATGTTGGGATTACAGGAACAGCTCTAAATTAGTTTAAATCATATCTATATGATGGATTCCAATTTGTAAATGTAAATAATGAATCTTCATCATACACCAAAGTTAGTCATGGAGTTCCTCAGGGTTCAGTGCTTGGACAAATACTATTTACCTTGTATATGTTTCCATTAGGTAAAGTTATTAAACAGCATGGGATACATTTTAATTGTTATGCTGATGACACACAATTATATTTGTCCATTAAACCCAATGAATCCAATCAGCTACTTAGACTACAAGCATGTCTTAAAGACATAAAAACCTGGATAACTCTAAATTTTCTGCTTTTGAACACAGACAAGACTGAGGTTTTAGTTTTTGGACCTGAGCACCTTAGGAATGAATTATTCAGTCTTTCTCCTCCTTAGATGACATTAATCTGTCCTCCAGCTCTAATGTTAAAAATCTTGGTGTTATTTTTGATCAGGACATGTCTTTTATCCCCCACATTAAAAATGTTACTAGAACCACCTTCTTCCACCTGCGTAATATCACTAACATTAGAAACATCTGATCTAAAGATGATGCAGAAAAACTGTCATGCCAAAGTGGTTCAAAACACCAAAGTTCATGCTCAATCATCCAGGTAAAAATCCATTTTGAACCACTTTGGCATGACTCTCAGAGGAGTTGACGGGGGAGAGGGCGGCCCCGGAGGCCATCTTGGCACCAGCAAACAGTTTTTGTCCACTATGGAGTGTGCTGCTTTGAGGGAATCAGTTTGTTTGGTGGCTCCTCAGATTGAAGAAGTCCTTTGGATGAAGGACGAAACGTTCCAGTAAAAAAAGAAACCATCCAGATGACCCGGCTGCACATTGTTGGATTTCTACCTGGATTAGAGCATGAACTTTGATGTCACAAATAACTTTTAATAGAATCGGGAAATAACATATTAAAGCCAACATGTGCAGTCAGTCAAAGATCTACAACAAAAAAACAAAAATAAATAAAGATAAAACGCTGAATTTTGTCCTTGGAACAAAGATGTGTGCAGTAGAAGGTTAATCTGAGTTATTTGATGTTTCTGCAATAAACCCCCACAGAGACGCAGACGTGTTTTGTTCTTGTCTATGAGTTCTTTATTTGTATTTTTTATAGAGAACATTTAAAATGGTTCATACGCCCACGATAACTGACATCACTTCTCTGCGTTATAACACTGACACAGGAACAGGGGGACATGTCCACAAGTACACAAACACACAGTCACAAACTCAGCCCATCTACAGCGTTGTACTCCCCCCCCCCCCCCCCCCCAAAAAAAAAGACTTAACAAAACACATGAGACCCCGAGGACGCACAGCCAAGGCCTGTCCCACTTTACAAAATGGAGCCATAGCAAAGGAATGACCACGTCTACAAAAGTAACAAAAAAGACCAAACAATCGTTATGGAAGTGGCTTGTATAATTCTGGAAGTTTAGTACTTTTTTTTAAAGGATTTCAGTAACAGTACCTAGAAAATCACCAGTAAAAATATCTCATCTCTGTAAAAATGTGCTAGCAGGACAACCCTTGGCTGTGGAGTTTAGTCATTGTCACAAACTATTTTTTTTATTCTTTTGTAGTTTTTTAAAACTGTTTTCAACTTCGATACGACAACAATAACACTGTTTCTTCTGAATACAAATATGTACAGAGACTTTCCACTTTTTTTTATTTAATTTCTTTTCAAAATAATGCCCTGCACACTGATGCAGTATCTAGAGACGAATGACGATCCTCAGACTCCAGAACAGAACCTGTCCGTGCACTTTGGGTACCTGAATCGACAGAATGAGATCACAGTTTTTAGCCAAACGAAAGCTTTGTACCCCCTCCATTAACAGAACGGTTTCCGCCAGCGTGGACAGCAGGAGACGCGTTTGACGGAATAAACCCCACCCGCTTCCCCTGAAATTAAAGGTACTCATTGCAAAGTATGAAATCAAACACAAAAAACCTGTTATCCTGAATTATTTTAAAACGGTTCCGTTAGAAAGAGTTTACTCCGGTAGGTTTCCAGATACCGAATGCAAGTCTGAAATGTGGGTATGCACTCAATGTAAACAAAACCTTGAGCTGAATCCGAGTCACGTGACTGAACCAAGCTGGTCATAGTGGGTTTGGTCAGGGGTCTGCAAGCTTTACAATCAGAAGAGCCATTTCTGCCCCTTAGTTCCTAAAAA